CACATCTCCAGGCCCCTCTGATATTACTCTTGCTTTCTATTTTGAATTTTTATTCAAACAAAAAATAGAAGATTTACTGTTATGCAGACTACTGCAATATTGTAATAATTGTATAAATAACATCAACCCATTCATGACTACATATTAGAATGGCTAGTTGGACATTTATTGGACAATTACATAATTTGTTTACCTTTGAACATCGGAAAAATCAAACATTTTCCCTACTTTGAGCTCCATTTCAAGGTTCTTTTTACAGTAAAACCAATCAAAATCACCTCTATTTCTATAATATGTTTTCCATTCTATCAAATGAGACCAAGAAAATGAGAATACAACCATAAATACTATACAAAAATAGACCCATTCTCTCACATGTGGACCTACCAGCTTTCTCCTGCTTGATTTGAAGCCGCTAGAATTTATGAGTATATATATACGTCAAACACAGTACCTCGTAAGACGTGCATATATGACCAAAACAGTCAAAGGGTTAACCCTTTGAGGGTCGACAGGCCCTCTCCGAGACTCGTTCTCAGGGTCGGCCAAATTTAAAAAAAAAAAATTTTTTCTTATGAAAAGTTAGAGAATCTTTTCCTGATCATAATGACACCAAAAATATGAAATTTGATGGAAAACTTACGGAATTATGCTCTCGCGAAGTTAGCGGTCTCGGCGATGTTTACGGATCGGCGATTTTGCCCACTTTGAACCCCATTTTCGGCCAGTTCCACTGTACTAGTCAACAAAAAACATAAATATTTCGCTAGAACTCCATTTTTTCTATTGAATGAGTGCAAGAAACCACCCATTTACCAATTTCAACTATCCAGTACAGTGGTCAGAATTTAGGAATTTTGCCAATTTCACACAAATTTCAAAAGATGCCAATTTCCGAATAGGGTCCAGAACAAACAAGAAATACATTCCTGGCACTAAAATGACATTTCCTCTGTTCATTAGACACGTCTCAAGGCCCATCTTACATTCTTTTGCTTTCCACTTTGAATTTTTATTCTCACTAAAAATAGAAGATTTATTGTTATGCAGACTACTGCATTAGTGTAAAAAATGGTATGAATCATATTGGCACACTTGCAAAAGAATATTAGACTCACCAGTTGACGTGTATTGGACGCTTGGCATGATTTGTTTGCTTTTGAGCTTTGGTAAAAATTGATCATTTCTGCTACTTTGAGCTCAATTTCAAGGTACTTTTCATTGTAAAACCAGTCAAAATCATCTCAATTTCTGTGATATGCCTTCCATTCTATAAAATGAGACCAAGAAAACTAGAATACAACAATAAATACCATATGAAAATACAGTGCAAAATCTCTGTTTTATTCCAAAAAAACGGTCAAAGTTTTTTTTTTCTCATTATGCACAATGTGCTGCAGGATTTTTTTTATACCGTGCACACTGACCACATAGACCCATTCTTTCATATGGAGGCCTACCAGCTTTCTCCCACTAGATTTGAGGGCGCTAAATTTAGGCGTACTAGTATGTCAAAAACCCTGGGTCGTAAGCTGTACTAGTACGTCCGAAACCCTCAAATGGTTAAGAATGAGATTTTGTTGGCATTTTCACATATATCTTCCCTTAATGAAATTTAATTTTTCTGTCTTACTTAGATATCAAGTTCATAACATTTGGTACCTTTGGAAATGCAAGGGGGATCAAATAAAACTGTATTATTTGATTATTTTGCACAACTAATTACTGTCACTTGTTATACAGTATAAAAGGGGTTATCTAATGCACATGTTATGTAGGTAAGTTGACGTTACAGTATTGGTAATTATGGATTCAAGAAAAAAACTTGCATATAATATAATTATATACACAACTCTCACATAGGAAAATGAAACTTATGACGACATTTTGGTCCAACTTGGAGCATTAATTAGTGACACAGAAGTGCGAAGGGAAGCGAGCCAGTATTTATACGAGAGGGAAGGGGGCACGGTAGTAGAGGGAAGCGGGCACAGTAATAGAGGGAAGTGGGCACAGTAATAGAGGGAAGGGGGCATGGTAGTAATGGGAAGCGGGCACACTAGTAGTGGGAAGGGACCACGGTAGTAGAGGGAAGTAGGCACGTAGTAGAGGGAAGCAGGCACGCTAGTAGAAGGAATCGGGCACGGTAGTGGAGGGAGGGGGGCACGGTAGTAGAGGGAAGTGGGCACGGCAATAGAGGGAAGCAGGCATGGTAGTAAAGGGGGCATGGTAGTAGAGGGAAGGGGGCACGGTAATAAAGGGAAGGGAGCATGGTAGTAGAGGGAAGGGGGAACGGTAGTAGAGGGGAGTGGGCACGTTAGTAAAGGGAAGGGGGCACTGTAGTAGAGGGAAGGGGATGTGGTAGTAGAGGGATAAGGGGGCATGGTAGTAGAGGGAAGGGGGCATGGTAGTAGAGGGAAGGGGGCACAGTAGAGGGAAGGGGGCAGGTAGTAGAGGGAAGGGGGCACAGTAGTAAAGGGAAGGGGGCATGGTAGTAAAGGGAAGGGGGCACGGTAGTAAAGGGAAGGGGGAACGGTAGTAAAGGGAAGGGGGCAATGTAATAGAGGGAAGGGATGTGGTTAGGGTAGTAGAGGGAAGGGAGCATGGTAGTAGAGGGAAGGGGGCATGGTAGTAGAGGGAAGGGGGCACAGTAGTAAAGGGAAGGGGGCATGGTAGTAAAGGGAAGGGCACAGTAGTAGAGGGAAGGGGGAACGGTAGTAAAGGGAAGGGGCACGGTAGTAGAGGGAAGGGGGCACGGTAGTAAAGGGAAGGGGGCATGGTAGTAAAGGGAAGGGGCACAGTAGTAGAGGGAAGGGGGAACGGTAGTAAAGGGAAGGGGGCACGGTAGTAGAGGGAAGGGGGCATGCGTAGTAGAAGGAAGGGTGGTAGTAAGAGGTCACATTGTAGTACGTATTAAGGCCGAGCCCCTCCCCTAGTATATAAAGAGCTGCTGTTTAACAAATTGTGTGTATAGTTAATTTGTCCGATTTCTGGTATTTTAAATTTGTAAATCAATCATACAACTTCAATCAATCAATCAAGTTTATTCTCTATAAGGATTACAATGTGGGGTTTACAGATTTTGGATATTGTGTGGTTTACATGTTATACAATACTAATTATAGAGGGGGCCACTAGGACACCTAGCATGGCTAGGCATTTTGGGCAGACTTAGATTAATTCTAAACTCTAAATTATTACAAATTATGGAGTAAGTTGGTATTATGGCTAAGTGACTAAATTATAGTTTGTGAGTTTAGCAGTGTGAATGCTTTTGTTTTGGCACAATACATAGTTTCTATATTGGAGTATCACAGGCAAACTTATGACTAGTTAGGATTCATTATTTTAAGATTAAGATTCGTATTTCTGTGTTTATAGTCAAATGGGTGAGTGAGTGAGTGTAAGTGTGAACCACCAGGTGGTTTTCATGTAGGTAGTTGATGGGGTGTATCAGGGAGATAAGATGTTTTCTAACGATAGTGTTGAAGGTGATGAATATGTCTGCGGTTCTAGAGTTTTCAGGTAGGGTGTTCCAGATTTTAGGGCCTTTGACATACATTGAATTTTTGTAAAGGTTTAGTCGGACACGGGGAATGTCATAGAGATGTTTGTGTCTGGAGATGGGAAGTACAGTGCCTGCACTCAGAAGGAAGGGTGTTAATGTTGCAGTTTAAAAACTGTAGTGTAAAGCACCCTTCTGGCAAGACAGTGATGGAGTGAATGATGGTGTAAGTTTTTCTTTTTCGGGCCATCCTCTCTTGGTGGGAATCGGCCAGTGTGTTAATAAAAAAAAAAAAATTATTGGCTTTAGGTGTATTGCTGCAGTTGATCCCCAAGCACACATAGCATAGGTGAGGTATGGATAAATGAGTGAATGGTATAGTGTGAGAAGGGCATTTTGCAGCACGTAGTATCGTATCTTGGAGAGGATCCCAACCGTTTTGGATACTTTTTTTGTTATGTGTTAGATATGGGTGCTGAAATTCAGAGTGTTGTTGTGGTATAGGCCTAGGAATTTGCCCTCATTATGTCTGGCAATTAGAGTGTTGTTGATCTTAATGTTAAGTTGTGCAACACCTGCTGTGCTACCAAATATAATATAGTAGGTTTTGTCACTGTTAAATGTAAGTTTATTAGCTCATTCTCCTATGTGCTGGTTATTTGTGTAACATTTCCAATTTATTATTTGCATATGTTAGACTTTTTTTTTTGCCTCAAAATTCTAGGGGAAGGGCTGTAGCTGCCCCTCTCATCCTCTTCCACAGAAACTATTGGCTTTTCATATTTCCAAGACTCACATAGCAGGCAACTAGTTAGTCAGCAGGATTTCAATGGCTATACCTAATTCCTAATTGACAGTACTATACAGTAGTCTCCCCAGTAAATCATTAGGTAGCATTGGTGTTTTCTAGTGTTAGCCACACCTTGGTGCTGCTTGGTCCAGGATTTTGTTTTTACAAATGAACAGTGAGCCAGGTGTGTATGTGCTGTTTGCTATTTTTTATTCTACTTAAAATTATTTTTTTTTTTTAACACAACACTGTCTTCCACCAAGGCAGAGTGACCTGAAAAACAAGAAATGTATAGTTTTTCTGCTTTCTACATTTAGTAATTTATTTAGGAGAATGGGGTTACTAACCCCTTGCTTCTGGCATTTTAGTCGCCTCTTACGACGCACATGGCTTACAGAGGAAGGATTATTTTTCCACTTCCCCATGGAATTAAAATTCCTTATGTTTATTATAATTTTTGTATTACCTTAAGTTAGTAATGTCTGAAGATTATTAGATGGATTATAATCAAGCCTCCACCAATCTTTGTGCTGATTTACTCACTGAATTAATGCTTCACTTAAGTAAAATGAAAGCAAATTTTTTTACTAATGATTCCAGATAACTAATGTTTTGTATTAAACTTCACTTTGCTTTTTAAGATGAAATATATTGTTCTTTGTCTTTGCATGTCATTAAATAATCATTATTTATTCATGTCTGCAGGTTGTGTTCAGTGAGAGGATTATTGTACCACCATCGATCCTGAGTGATGAGACTTTGCGACTAGAACTTCTGGAAAACATGGATCAACATTTTTCATTATCATCTACAGCTTTTAACTAAACTAACTTGATTAAAAACAAATGTAAAACTGTCTTCTGTAATTGATTTTTTATTCATAAAAAAATTACATTCAGAATTTTATTATATGGTCTTAATTTCCATAAAGAGCATTAGGTCAGACTTCCCCTCATTAAGGTGGCTGTGACCCGCCTTAACTTAAATACTCTGTTCTGTACATTTACTGTGCATGGAGACTCATATACCCCTTTTTAATGTTCTGGAAGTTGAGTATGCACTAGAGCAGTGTTATTCACTAATTTTTGCAAGAGAGCCACTTCGGTTAAACACATTGATTGAGAGAGCCGCAGCTACTGCAAGTTAGCGTAACTCAACTAAATTAAGTAGTACTGAGCTGCTAGTGCAATATAGTAAATGAGAAAAATTAGACATGGTAATATTAGCCTGCATATCTTGTTATTAATAGTGGCTCAGAAGCCGCTGGCTGCTCGCGAGCCGCGCAATGAATACCACTGCACTAGAGAGTATGCACATTTTTTTTTTTTTTTGTTCTGGTATGTTTCCTGACTTGTAAAGTGCATTATCTCTGGGACCAGTAGTGTATTTTGATTCCATGTTTTGCCTGTTGGTGTTTGAGATGGGTGGGGGAATTGGACTTATTGCATTGTTTCTGCAAAGCCCTGGACTCCAAAATTCAACCTCGACAATTCACTCAGTTGCTCATTCCTGGCTCAACTATGATTTCTGGGCTCTTGAACATCCAGTTCATCTCCTCCCCGATTTTCTGGGAGAACTCATTCTCATGGATGATCACCTGTTTTGTGACTTCTGTTTCTCACAAGTAGCATCTTTATTCTACTGTCTTTCATTCTCTGGTGAAGGCTTGGGTGTCTGGGTAAGTGCTTATTTGCCATATGACTGTTTTAGCCCTTTTTTAATGTACCCAACATTGGTAAGTGGATCTCTGTGTGTACTGTATTTACCTACAGTATTTTGTGCAAACCTAGTTTTGCCTTACAACTGATCAGGTTCACAAATACTGTAATAAGTTTCATCCCATTCGTTTCATCTCACTGCAGAGGCTTATTTCTAACACCCGGGCTTTCACCTTTCTGTTTTCACTCTGCTTCCTCCAAGAAGGACTTCATTCTTATGGGTTCTGTTTCTGGCTACAGACTTTGAGGCTCATGCTGGTAGGTGCTTGACTAATGAGTAGTCAGCATGGGAGATCAAACTTGGTCCTCTCATTCTTCCTCTGCCTCGGAAAGGAATTATTCCATTCTTCAAGGGCATTACCTGCCTGTCATGCCAGCTCTCTCTGTATATAATTATAATCATGGGGGAGCGCTAAACCTGTAGGGTTATACAGCACGTGGGGGGATGGAAGGTATTCAGGCTTAATTCGGGGAACTGGAGCACGGATCCAATTCCCTGGATCAAGAGCCCCTCACCAGCATCAAGGAACCTCCCTTGAGGGGTCTCTCTGTATAGTCTGTCCAGTTGTAGTACCTCTTGGTTTTTGGCCCATGCAGGGGCACTCTATTCGCACATACTGGCCCCCATTATTCACCACTTGGTCTTCCTTACAAGTCTACTTACCATGGCATCTTCCACTTGACTTTATATTTTGGGGACACTGTCCTCTGCCCTGATGGGGCTTCTCAGGTCTACCATTTTCCATCAGAGAAAGAGCAAGAAACTTGAGTCACACTGACTAATTCATATACTTATCCTCTGGGGAATCACTGTCTTTCCCCAGCTACTTTTGAAGTGGGTGTGTCATTTCATCTTGTCTGCCTCGGTTCACCTGGAATAGAGTCCTCTTCTCACTCCCACAACACTTATGCTGCTGGCTCCTTGGCCTTCATGGTTTGGGTCTGGAAATATAAACACATATGCAGAATAATGTGATCCTTTAATGACATGTTTTGCCCACACAGTGGGCTTTTTCAAGTCACGAACAGATCTACCTGGGGTGGAAGGTAGGGGAGTATTTATAGTCAGGTTCAGAATACCTTCCACCCCAGGTAGATCTGTTCGTGACTTGAAAAAGCCCACTGTGTGGGCAAAACGTTGTCATTAAAGGATCACGTTATTCTGCATATGTGTTTATATTTCCATTGTGTCGGTATTTTATACCATTTATTTCCATGGTTTGGGTCTACTGGATCTCATTGTCAGGGTTACACAGCTGACATATAGGTTATCTTGTGGAACAGGCAAGATTCAAACCCATGACAGGTCAGTTCTACAACTAGCAGGCCAGTGTTCTAACCACCATATCATGCTGGCCTAATAAGAGTCCTCCAAATAAGTATATTTCTATACCCTAGGAAGGTAAGCTAACCTGACTTCTGAGTTCTGCGCTTCCTCAAATTTATAGTTAAGTTATCTAGAGCACTCCTAATAGGTTGAAATATATTTTCAAGTGATGCAGGTGCAGAATTGCCCATTAAACCATTGAACTGACTGGTAAGGACCATTCCCAAACCTTGTCTAATGTTCATGTTAATCTGTTCTGTGTTTTATATCAACTTGTATTTGCATTGCTTTAAATAAAATATATAAAAAAAAAAAATGTTCAATGTACTCCACTGATTGACTAAACGACTGTGATGAATCCCATCTCAGGCCAGTACTGAGGATTCCTTACTTTATACAGTTTCACTTAATGTGAATTTGTTGTTTTGTATGGTGACACCATTTCTACCAGTAATTTGCTGTGTGTACAGATTTACTCTTATGTCATCACAAGCCCACCACCCTTGTATATACGTATTTGTAGACAACAGTATGTGACTGAGGCAGGTGGACATGTTCACCTGTCATTGTGTACTGGTGTGTGTGACTGTTTGATTACTATTTCTGTACTTAACATTTGTGTCAGAACAACCAGTGGCTATGAAATCACAAGATCTACTCTTATTTTTTTCAACACGTTGGCCATCTCCCACCAAGGCAGGGTGACCCAACAAAGAAACACTTTCACCATCATTTAAACATAATCACTCTTTACAGAGGTGCCCAGATATGACAGTTTAGATGTCACTCCAAACTGCCAATATTCCAAACCCCTCCTTTAAAGTGCAGGCATTGTACTTCCCACCACCAGGACTCAAGTCCAGCTAACTGGTTTCCCCGAATTTCTAAAGAAAATATTACCCTGCTCACACTCCAGCACCTCGTCAGGTCCCTAAAACCATTCGTCTCCATTCACTCCTATCTAACATGCTCACATGTGCCTGCTGTATGTCTATACCCCTTACACACAAAACCCCTTTTACACCCTCCCTTCATCCTTTCTTAGGATAATCCTTAACCCTCCACTACAGATTTATACAACCTCCAAGTCATCCTATTTTCCTCCAACCTTTAAATGACCAAACCGCCTCAACAACCCCTCTTCAGCCCTCTGAATAATATTTTTAGTAACTCCACATCTCTAATTTCCACACTACAAAGTCTGTGCATAATATTTACACAACACATTGCCCTTAAACATGACATCTTCACTGCCTCCAGCCTCCAGCCTCCTCCTCCTTGCAACAGCATGTACAACCCATGCTTCACACCCATATAAGAATGTTGGTACCACTATACTCAAATACAATCCCTTCTTTGTCTCCATGGATAATGTATTTTGTCTCCACAGATGCTTCAATGCACCACCCACCTTTTTTTCCTTCATCAGTTCCATTGTTAACCTCATCCTTCATAAACCCATCCGCTGACAAGTCTACTTCCCAATGTGATATCCAGTTTTTCTTTACCTAACTTAAAACCTAACAAAAACTACATAAATTAAGAGAGAGATAAAAAGGCTTATCTGCGACATTTCTGCAAGCAGCAGGACTCCATGTTGCCATCATATGAGCATCCAGTGCCATCTTCACGACTTTATATCTTGGTAAGCACTAACCCTAATTTTTTTTATTGAAACACTTAGAAAATTAAAATGAGCAGCCCAGCTGCAAATGCCACTAAAAATGACTGAAAATTTACCAATTCGAGGAAAGTGAATACAGCCTCACCTCACTTAGCAACGTTCTCGTTTAGTGATGACTCGGACTTACAATGGGCTCTCTGACTAGTATGCATACCTATATAATGTATAATAGAGCTGATTTCCTCTATTCTGTTTATTACAGTACACAGTGCACTGATGTATAAACATTTAAAAATATACCAGATATGTTATAATTGGTACAAAGGTGACATTAAAACAATATCAAAGATAGTTGACACAAACCCACTACCATTATAGTATGCTCCTCGCTTACTAATGAATTCGTTTACCAACGTGGCCTTAGGAACGGAACTCTGTCGTTAAGTGAGCAGAGGCTTTACTGTATTTACCTGAGTAGACATTCACTTTTAATAAACATTAGGTTATTTTGTTAGAGAATAACAGAAACTTCATAGTTACTGAACAAACAAGTTGCCAAGAGTTGAATATGGCCAAAGATCTTATTACAGGTGTAGAATAGTAGTAGTGCAGCAGGTGGGTTTAAGGCTTAAGCTCATGTTTGTGTAATTGTTCAAAATAATTTGCACGAGCATGAAAAATGTTAAGATGATCCTGCCAATAATATGGCATCCTATCAGATGAACTGCATCTAGACTTATTTATAAATTTTTTGGTTCAGCTCTAAAACAATACCATAAAAAATATTGTTCATTAAGCATTTTTACTAGAGAATTTCTTAGGTCATCCAGTTAAACTGTAATGTGTTACTTGTTGAAGCTGTTAAGAGTAATAATATAATCAAGTGTAGTACTACCCTAGTGAAACATGTGAAGCATGGGTGATGAATGTTGCAGCGAGGAGAAGGCTGGAGGCAGTGGAGATGTCATGTCTGAGGGCAATGTGTGGTGTGAATATAATGCAGAGAATTCGTAGTTTGGAAGTTAGGAGGAGGTGCGGGATTACCAAAACTGTTGTCCAGAGGGCTGAGGAAGGGTTGTTGAGGTGGTTCGGACATGTAAAGAGAATGGAGCGAAACAGAATGACTTCGAGAGTGTATCAGCCTGTAGTGGAAGGAAGGCGGGGTAGGGGTCGGCCTAGGAAAGGTTGGAGGGAGGGGGTAAAGGAAGGTTTGTGTGCGAGGGGCTTGGACTTCCAGCAGGCATGCGATGAGCGTGTTTGATAGGAGTGAATGGAGACAAATGGTTTTTAACACTTGACGTGCTGTTGGAGTGTGAGCAAAGTAAATTTATGAAGGGTTCAGGGAAACGGCAAGCCGGATACTTGATGTCCTGGAGTGTGAAGTAACAGTGCCTGACTCTGAAGGAGGGTCGTTAACGTTGAAGTTTTAAAAAATGTAGTGTAAAGATCTCTTTATAAATGTCACTGCTTGGTATTGTGATAATAAAACAAAATTTAACAGAAAAAATAAAAGGAATAATATGTACTTCTTTGCTTATTTTTAAAAGGTACAAGACTGATTTTTCTACCTACTGTAATGTATTCAAAGTAGGCAACCAGTCTAAAAGTTTTTTTTAATGAGTACAATAATACAAGAAAAAGGTAGCTTAGTGAAAATCTCTTATATATGTACATCGTATTTATTAAATCAAGACTACACAAATCAAAGTAAAACAAGGAAGTACTACAAAGAGAAGAAAAGTGGACTTTTGTAATTAGCTTAAATACTGCTTGTATTCACTGTCACTAATAATAAAAACCAATATTCTCAATTTATTGTAGAAGTAATTATCATAATTCTTTAAAAAAAAAAATTATATATTATACAAAAATTTATAAACGGTTGAATACAAAAATCATTTTCACCTCAGTTAATTTATGTACAATATACTGCTTTATCACAATGCCTTAACTTTGCTTTCCAGCTTCTTTCCAAGTATTAATTTCCCCTTCAAACTGTAGTGGTTCTATGGCCATTTTATTAGCATGTGGAGGTGGGCCAAGGATGGCTTCAACATCATCATAGTTTAAAGTTTCCTTCTGCAACAGAGCCTCAGCAAGCTGCAAACAAATGTAAGGTATTAGATTTACATGTTTTTATCTTGTAGTGGCATTAACATAAAAATATTTTACATTGCAAATTATGCACAGGCTTATATAGGTTTTTAACACAATGACTGTCTCCCACTGAAGAAGGGTGACGTGAAAAAGAAACACTTTCGCCATTCACTATCACTGTCTTGCCAGAGGCACCCAGATATGGCAGTTCAGATGTCTCTCCAAACTGCAAATATAAAACCCCTCCTTCAGAGGGCAGGCACTGTACTTCCAACCTTCAGGACTCAAGTCAGACTAACAGCTTTAATCTTCTTTCAATACAATGGCAGTATCCCACCAAGGCAGGGTGGCCCAAAAAGAAAAACATAAGTTTCTCTTTTTAACTAATGTATACAGGAGAAGGGGTTACTAGCCACTTGCTCCCGAACAGGTTTAATATCAACGTTAAAAAATTAGCTGGATATTAAACGTGCAATGGTTATAGATTATTAAAAACAAAGTCACAATACCATGACTGGAGAAATACACAAATAACCAGCACACATGAGAAATTGGAGTCCAGTCCCTGGACCAATTATGTATCTCTGTAATCTTTTGACTACCGCCCACAGGATGGGTATGTGGTGACTACCACCCACAGGATGGGTATGTGGTGCATAATAAACATATTAAACTAACTAACTAACACATGAGAAAGAAGCTTATGAGCACGTTTTTGTCCGACATGAACCATATACGAGTCACATTGTGAAATGTAAATGGTTCAAGTCAGAACAAAACATCATCATAAGTTTCTTTCTCCTGTGTGCAGGTTATAATCTGTGTATACATTATTAGTCAAATTCTGTTACCCAAAGAACAGGTGGGTTTCAACTTTCAGCCCCAAATATTACTTATTTTTATATCATTGACTTCGGGATATAACATAGCTAGCAGCTCTATGAAGTAGCAAGTGAAAAATATGGCAACTGTATAAAGTGACTGTAAGCTTTTATTTCACTGCTACGATGTGCAATGGAAGTGACTGTGTTAGTATACCTAATATTTTCTTTTTTGCTGTTGCAGTGATCTTGCAAGGGAATTTTGTCTAACAGTAACGCTAGTAGCCCTAACTGTTGCATTGTTAGCTGCGTACAATAGTAGCAAGATGCACATAATAGACACCCTAATGTGGGTGTCGGATTTTTCTCGTGGAATTTTTTTTTTACTTTTTGGTGCATCCATTTTGAATTTTTTGGCTCAAACTGCATTTGGGATAACAGGATTCAGCTACTATATTTATGGGGAAGTGTTAAATATACAGAGGTCCTATAGTGACTGGGGAATGGGAAGCAATCAGGTTTATTCAAGTAAGCAATTAATTATCTCCAATTCCTTAGATCAAGAGCCCCTCACTGGCATCAATGAACCTCCCTTGGGAGGGGGCAACTGTTGTAGAATATGTAATTTTTTTTTTTAACACACTGGCCATCTCCCACAGGAAATTAGAATATGCAATTATCTGAATTTTATACAGTATTTCTGTATGACCCTGGTAATTTAACACTTAGTTTTGATTATAATAATTTTTTTTTTCAACAACCAGCCATATCCCACCGAGGCGGGGTGGCCCACCGAGGCGGGGTGGCCCACCGAGGCGGGGTGGCCCACCGAGGTGGGGTGGCCCAAAAGGAAAAACGAAAGTTTCTCCTTTTACATTTAGTAATATATACAGGAGAAGGGGTTACTAGCCCCTTGCTCCTGGTATTTTAGTCGCCTCTTACAACATGCATGGCTTACGGAGGAAGAATTCTGATCCACTTCCCCATGGAGATAAGAGGAAATATACAAGAACAAGAACTAGAAAGAAAATAGAAGAAAACCCAGAGGTGGGAGACGGCCGACTTGTTGAAAAAAAAAAAAAAAAAAAAAAAACATGTATGTGCAGTGTGACCTAAGTGTAAGCAGAAGTAGCAAGACGTACCTGAAATCTTGCATGTTTATGAAACAGAAAAAAGGACACCAGCAATCCTACCATCATGTAAAACAATTACGGGCTTTCGTTTTACACTCACTTGGCAGGATGGTAGTACCTCCCTGGGTGTTGCTGTCTACCAACCTACTACCTATAATTATAATAATTATACAGTATTAATTTTTAACCATTCCACAATCTAGGAAAGAAAATCTGGACAGTGTTTTAGTCAAGTCCTGGAATACTGAGTCACAACCAAGAAACAGAAAGTGAGGTTCCTTGATACTAGCTCTTGATCAACTGGGCCTGACCTCCCTTTCCTTGGATCGAACCTAATTGCCTCCCACTCTTACAGGCACTGTATGGCATCTATGGGTTTAGTGCTCTCTAATGAATGTAATAACTGGTCAGGTGAAGATAATTGTAGGAGACAGATAAATGAAGAAACAGAAGACAGAATGCTAAACCCACAGAAATCATTCAGCACCTGGGAGAAATGGGAGACAATCAGGTTTGATTCAAGGGATTACAAGTCCAATTACTTGGATCAAGAACTCCTTACTGGCATTAAGGCACCTTCTGTGAGTGGAAAAAAAAAAGTGACGAAAAACCAAGGTCAGTTCAAGTTACAGGTAGTCAAAAGATTTAAGGACTGAAAAAGGCAAGCATTAAAAGAAAGACTAAAATTCAACTTAACAATAATGGGTATAAAGTCAGTTCAACAAGGCAGCATCTATAAAGGCTGGAAGAGGGTCAGGACAACTTTTAGAAGGGTTATGGTGTTTAACATGATCAGCAAGGCAAAGCACTTCTCTGATGTTCTTTAAGGAAGTGACCAATGTCACCAAGGCACTGGAGAGGGTAAGCAGAGATGTCAAAATTCTCAGTGGTAGAAATATAAACAAGATAGCCATGAAGTGTATTAGTTTGACAAAATTAAGCTCAATTAAACTTCTTTGGTCCCCTTTTTCTTCCTAAGTAAGTTCATTCAGGTATACATAAATACAGTTACATAGATATCATACATAGCAGCATATGTGTAGAGAACCTGGGATAACCCAAAAAAGTCAGACAGAGTGACTTATTTCCATTGGGGTCCTCCCACTGACATGATGAAAGTTTTTCTTTTTCAGGCCATCCTGCCTTGGTGGGAATCGGCCGATGTGTTAATAAAAAAAAAACAACTTCATTGTCATTTCCCTCTTCAGTGCATCTGAAATAGCCACTTTATTTTTTACTTTTTTTTTTTTTTTCTCTGCTGACATTAACAACTCTCTTCTGTCATATCAGTGACCTCAGCCATCATAAGCTGGTCTTCTGGGAAAATAATCTATCCCTGCTAGCCTTCAAGGACACCATTATGTTGAACTGACCCTTATATACATCCCTTTCATGAATCCTAATGCTTTTCCCAGTACATAATCAAATGCTCTAATCCTCAGAACACATAATGTGATTCTGTTTCTCTCACCTCTTTGCCTGATCTGGCTAAGTCTTTTTAACCCTTTCAGGGTCCAAGGCCCAAATCTGAAGTGGTGCCCCAGTGTCCAAGAATTTTCAAAAAAAAAATTTGTTATTTTTTCTTATGAAATCGTAGAGAATCTTTTTGTGAAGGTAATAAAACAAAAAGTACGAAATTTGGTGGAAAATTGACGAAATTATGCTCTCGCGAATTTTGATGGGTCAGCGATATTTACGAATCGGCGATTTTGCCGACTTTGACTCCCATTTTAGGCCAATTACATTATTCCAATCAACCAAATTCTTAGCTATTTCACTAGTATTACTTCTATTCTATCGACTGAGCACAAGAAATCGCCAAGTCAACTGTTTCAACTACAAAATAAAGTGATCGGAAATTGTTAATTTGGCCAATTTAACACAAAGTTCAAAATATTCCAATTTCAAAATAGGCTCCAGAATAAACAATGTAGGTATTCCTGGAACTAAACTAACATTCTCGTTCATTAGTTACATTTGAGGCTTACAAATAAAATTACCATTTGATTTTTTATTCACATAATGAATTTTTATTCACACCAAAATTAAAGATTTATGTTATGCAATGCTGTAATAATTGTATAAATATCATCACCATATTGTGAATGTATATTAGACCCACCAGATACGTGTATTGGATGTGTGAGGTCGTTGTTTACTCTTGAATATCGGCAAAAATTTAACATTTCCGCTACTTTGACTCTAGTTTCAAGCCATTTCCAGAGCTAAAAAATCAAAATCATTCTATTTCCTTAATATGTCTTCCATTCATCAAATGAGACCAAGAAATCGCAAATACAACTATAAAAACATACAAAAAAATACTGCAAAGTCGCTGTTTTAATCGAAAAATCATGATTTCAGTTTTTTTCTCTCATATTAACACAGTGTGCTGCAGGATACTGACTTTAGTGGTGCACACCTACCACATTAGATGTATTTCCTCATACTAGTCCCAAATGTACCACTCCACAGTTTATCAGAGTGAGCTGAGCTCATGGCGTAGATCTACGGTTTGGACCCTGAACGTAAAGCCGTAGATCTATGGGACGGACCCTGAAAGGGTTAAGAATATTACATGCATATACATAGCATTTGATTACAGTTAAACAGGAAAAATAATAAAATTTTCTTCTTTCAGTTGTGACTTAATAATGGTCCAGGCTGGACTGAAAAATTTAAAGCTTAAAGGTAAGATAGCACAGCTCAGGTCAAGCCACATACATGTATTCCAGAGACTAGAGCACTTGAGAATGGTCTGGGAAAGGCATGCATTGATAGAAACAAAGCTTGGATTAATATTCATATTAGAATTGTTGTGTCTAAATGCCAATTTAAAAATATGGTGTCTGTGGAGGCTAAAAGAGGGATACAGCTTATAATATGGCTATAGTCACTGACATGGCAAGAAGACAGAATTAACTCTCTCACCCTCTTCTTCCTCTAAACACAAATGGCTCTTTATCAAAGGCCTGTATTTTCAATAGAGAGGGTTTCGGAGATCAATGCCCATGGCCCAGTCTGTGACAGGCCTCGTGGTGGACCAGGGCCTGATCAACCAGGCTGTTACTGTTGGCCGCACACAGACTGACATACGAACCACAGCCTGACTGGTCAGGTACTGACTTTAGGTGCCTGTCCTGTGCCTTCTCGAAGACAGCCAGGGGTCCATTGGTAATCCTCCTTATGTATGCCGGGAGGCAGCTGAACAATCTTGGGCCCCTGACACTTATTGCACTTATGGCACTCCTTTTTTTTCATTGGGGAATGTGCATCTCCTACCAAGTTTTTTGCTTTCATAGGAAGTGATTTTCGTGTGCAAGTTTGGTACCAATCCCTCTAGGATTTTCCAAGTGTATATTATCATGTATCTTTCTCGCCTGCATTCCAGAGAATACAAATCAAGGGACTTCAACTGTTCCCAGAAATTTAGGTGCTTAATCATACTATGTGTACCATGAAATTTTGCATGCCTTGAAGGGGGCTGTTAGTGTGCAGCAGTATTCCAGGCTAGAGAGAAGAAGAGATTTGAAGAGAAACATCATGGGTTTGGCATCCCTAGTTTTGAAGGTTCTCATTATCCATCCTATCATTTTTCTAGTAGATGTGGTAGATACATTGTTGTGGTCTAGTAGATGTGGTAGATACATTGTTGTGGTCTAGTAGATGTGGTAGATACATTGTTGTGGGCTAGTAGATGTGGTAGATACATTGTTGTGGTCTTGGAAGGTGAGATCCTCTAACATTATCACTCCCAGGTCCTTCACATTACTTTTCACTCTACTGTATGGCTAGAATTTGTTGTATACTCTGATACAGTTTTAATTTCCTCAAGTTTTCCATATCTGAGTAGTTGAAATTTCTCTTCATTGGAACAATCCTTCTTCTTTCAACAAACTGACTGTATCGCACCAAAGCAGGGTGGATCAAAAAGAGAAACAAAAGTCTCTCTTTTTAACATTAGTAATGTATACAGAAGGGGTTATTAGCCCATTGCTCCCGGCATGTTAGTTGGCTCTTACGACATGCATGGCGTACGGAGGAAGAATTCTGTTCCACTTTCCCATGGAGATAAACGGAAATAAACAAGAACTAGTAAGAAAATATAAGAAAACCCAGAGGGGTGTGTGTGTATATATATATATATATATATGCTTGTACATGCATGTGTCGTGTGACTTAAGTGTAAGTAGAAGTAGCAAGACGTACCTGAAATCTTGAATGTTTTCTTTCTTTCTTTCAACACACCAGCCGTATCCCACTGAGGTGGGGTGGCCCAAAAGGAAAAACGAAAGTTTCTCCTTTTAAATTTAGTAATATATACAGGAGAAGGGGTTACTAGCCCCTTGCTCCCAGCATTTTAGTCGCCTCTTATGACACGCATGGCTTACAGAGGAAGAATTCTGTTCCACTTCCCCATGGAGATAAGAGGAAATAAACAAGAACAAGAACTATAAAGAAAATAGAAGAAAATCCAGAGGGGTATGTATATATATGCTTGTACATGTATGTGTAGTGTGACCTAAGTGTAAGTAGAAGTAGCAAGATGTACCTGAAATCTTGCATGTTTGAGACAGAAAAAGGGACACCAGCAATCTTACCATCGTGTACAACAATTACAGGCTTTCGTTTTACACTCACTTGGCAGGACAGTAGTACCTCCCTGGGTGGTTGCTGTCTACCAGCCTACTAACACAGGACAGTAGTACCTCCCTGGGTGGTTGCTGTCTACCAGCCTACTAACACAGGACAGTAGTACCTCCATGGGTGGTTGCTGTCTACCAACCTACTAACACAGGATAGTAGTACCTCCCTGGGTGGTTGCTGTCTACCACAGGACAGTAGTACCTCCCTGGGTGGTTGCTGTCTACCACAGGACAGTAGTACCTCCCTGGGTGGTTGCTGTCTACCAGCCTACTAACACAGGACAGTAGTACCTCCATGGGTGGTTGCTGTCTACCAGCCTACTAACACAGGACAGTAGTACCTCCATGGGTGGTTGCTACCAGCCTACTACCTAGGTGTATATAATGTGCTTTCTGCAATACACATACTGTACAGTATAAAAATCGTGCATTTGAAGACAATTTCTGACTAGTTTATTACTATTATTATATGGGGTGTTTGTGCAATAGCTTGAGAACCTCTCTTCTGATTTACTTTAAATCTTCAATGCTGGTGTATCTTACTTAGAGAAGAGTTCAAATTAATTTTGTACTATACAGGTGCCAATTTACCAATTTTATTAAACTAATTGGGATATTGGTTTCTGGGGGCTGAGTCTGTATGATGCTTTTTTTACTTTAAACTGTAAACCCAAAGGGGTCATACAATATCTGAGTGATTTGGAAGATACTTCATGGACACCTCAACAACCAAGCCTCATCTAGTCTTACGATGGTTCCCATAGTAACTTTATGGACAAACCTCACACTGTATTTCAGCTATTACTCATCAGAGGTGGGTGGCAGTGTTTTGATGCTGGTGAAGAACTCTTGATACAAGGAACCAGAGCTACCCTTCTCTGGTTCAAATTTTATTACTTAGCATTACCCAGATGCTTTATTACACCTACAGGCTCCATGCTTCCCATGAATATTATAATAATGTGGAAACACTAATATACTTTACAAGTACAGTGGACCCCCGCATAACGATCACCTCCGAATGCGACCAATTATGTAAGTGTATTTATGTAAGTGCGTTTGTACGTGTATGTTTGGGGGTCTGAAATGGACTAATCTACTTCACAATATTCCTTATGGGAACAAATTCGGTCAGTACTGGCACCTGAACATACTTCTGGAGTGAAAAAATATCATTAACCGGGGGTCCACTGTATACTTATAAGCTGACTGTATTTTACAACAAACTTCCTAAGCATATTTACCAATTTTAGCTTCAACATATTGGCTTTGAGCACTGTTTCTGTGTTTTTATATGCAGCAAAAATTAGTCGAGAAGCTTCATCATCTATACTTGATGCTAATTTCTGAGAATATGGCCTCCGTCCAATCTCTCTCATCTCTTCTTCAGGGAAGGACACATTTCCTACTAGTTCACTGAATCCAAATGACCTTACCTGAGAAGGAAAAAAAATGTAAGCCTCACTGTCCTCACATAAGCTTGTACTAAACATGATTTGGACAGACAGTATACTGTACTCGTTACAAAAGACAATGAAATGAAGAAAAAATGGAATTGGAAATTAAGGAGAAATAACCTTGACTACTCATATTCATTAGACAAATTCTTCATGTATTCATATATTTTACTTTAATGCTTTTCTTTTATACTCAAAGGTTACTATTGTAATTACTATATCCACTCCTTTGTTAGGTTATGTAAAAATATTGATTTTTCTTGCTGGTTTTCAGCTTAATATTGTAAATTAATTATAGGAAAAGCAACATTTCTCTGTGATTTCATGTAGCAGGTATGAGCAAACTTCCACTTGTTCACAAATAATTATAATCCATTCAAAGGAGAATGAAACTTGTGATGATGTTTGGGTCCAATTTGGACCATTAAGTAATTACATAGAAACAGACTGAACCATTGTCCTAAGTGTTATTCTCCTATATATGGGTTATTTGTGTACTGTTCTAGCCATGGTATTGTGATTTTTATTCTTTAAAATTCCACTGTTAATTTAAGAGCCCTAAAAGAATAAAGAATAAAAAGACACAATACCAAACCTGGAGTATACCTGGAGAGGGTTTTGGGGGTCATTGCTCCCCGGCCTGGTCTGAGACCAGGCCTCATGGTGGCTCTGGGTCTGATCAACTGCTGGCCACACACAAACCAATGTACGAACCACAGCCCGGCTGATCAGACACTGACTTGAGGTGCCTGTCCAGCACCTTCTTGAAGACAGCTAATCCTCCTATGTATGCTGGGAGGTAGCTGAACAGTCACACTTATTGTGTTGTCTCTTAGTGTTCTGGCGCCCCTGCTTTTCAGTGGGGGAATACTGCATCTCCAGTCGAATCTTCTGCTTTTGTAGGGAGCAATTTTCGTGTGCAAATTTGGTACTAATCTCTCTAGGATTTTCGAAATGTATATTATCATGTATCTCTTTTGCCAGCATTCCAGGGAATACAAATCCATGGACTTACACTGTTTCCAGTAATTTAGGTGCTTTATTGTACTTGTGTGTGTCGTGAAAGTTCTCTGTACACCCTCCAGGTCTACAGTTTTGCCTGCCTTGAAGGGGGCAGTTAGTGTACTGCAGTATTCCAGCCTAGAGAGAACAGGCAATTTAAAGAGAATCATCATGGGCTTGGCATCCCTAGGTTTGAAGGTTCTATTATCCATCTTATCACAGTTTTATATCATTTGCAGATGAAACTAAAATAAGCATGAAAGTCACTTTGGTAGAAGACACTGAAAAATTGCAGGAAGATATAAGCAGTGTTTCCAGTAGGCAGCAGAGAACAACATGACGTTCAATGGTGATAAGTTCCAACTGCTTAGCTAAGTTTGGAAAGAATGATAAACTCAAAAGGAACACTGTACACAAAACTCAAGAGGATCATCAAACAGAATGAAAGGAACATGTGAAAGACTTTAGAATATTTATGTCAGTTGATCTTTCTTTCAAAGAACACAATAAGACCAAGGTCACGACAGCCAGGAGGATGACTGGGTAATGAGAACTTTCAAACCAAAGGAAATAATGCTAGTGGTGACACTTTTTAAATTGCCAGTGCTCTCTCATGTGGAACATTGTTCAGTGTTGATGACCCCATTCAGGGCTGAAGAAATATCCGAGCTGGAATAAATACCTAGAGTATATACCTGGAGAGGGTTTCGGAGGTCAACGCCCCCACAGTCTGGTCTGAGATCAGGCCTTGCGGTGGATCAAGGTCTGATCAACCAGGCTGTTACTGCTGGTCACATGCAAACCGATGTACAAACCACAGCCCGGCTGGTCAGGTACTGACTTTATGTGCCTGTCCAGCACCTTCTTGAAGACAGCCAGGAGTCTACTGATAATCCCCCTTATGTATGCATCATTTATGGCCCACAGACCCAGTAAAGCATTTAAACGACTAGGAATGCCTTAAAGTCTTAAATACACTGTTACAAAAAACGCGATTCTAAAAGCTTAGAGATCTCCAGTGAACACTAGAAAGGACTGCCCTTCTAGCATCCAGCCTGTTACTGGGTTTTCGTAACAAGTAGTCAGTATCCTTGTCCAATTATCCATTAGAATTCAGTATAATTCAATAGTGCTTCAGGATTACAACTGGTAGGCTACTAACTAGAGAAATTAAAATTTAATAAATTTATTAAGTCTAGAGGTATATTATCAAATTAAATTAAATTAAATTAATCACAGTAATCAAAATAATATCACTTCTCTCAAGTACAATATTATTGTGCTGAAAGCACATATCACATTTATAATTCTTAAGTACCGTCTGGTACATCAACATTTAATAAGATATTACAAATATGTACAAGTTTGTGTGTATGTGTGTAAGTGCTCTAAGTAGTTCGTTATGTCTCAAGACTCGACTAGACTTAAACAAGTGACTGACAGTCCTCAAATAAACTAACTTCTTGACCGACTGGCAACCAGAACAGTCTGCTTGAACAATAAAAAGAATGCTAAGCCCAATAGCAATATAACAAGCAACTGCGACACAGAATCAAGAACAAGGAGATAATATAACGACACTAAGTAGGGACCATCTGCAGATCCTCCACAAAAATCACAAAACTCCCATACTACTAAATCTAAGTTCAGCATAAGAAAATCCCTGACTGTGATAATACACAGAAACCAGTACAAATTAGGTGAGAAGCTACAGCTCAGGACCTGAGATGTTTCGAGTGTCTATGTGACACACAACCTCAGTACAATGTCGAAAATCACTAAGTCTATACAATGTTCTGTGAACAGTTCAACAAAACTAACAAGAATAATGAGACAGACAATCTGTCCGACCACCAAGAGAGTCTAGAGCAGACTGAATACCTCAGGCGAGGTGAGGACACCCCCCCCTCGATCACGTGATAGCTCCGTGGACAACTGCAGCTCAGAAGCTGGCAGAGTAACGAGCAAGGAGCGATAATTACAGTAGTTAGACAATCAAGACTTGAACTGAGCACATAATATGTTACATCCTACCTAACAAAGGAAGCTACGTCAAATAACAATATAAAGCAATACATTTACGATTTAGCTATTATCGCAAATATAAGCAATATAAAATTAAATGAAAAGGTAATAATTATATACAGTGGACCCCCGCATACCGTTGGCATCACATAACGTTTAATCCGCATACCGCTCGCTTTAATCGCAAAAATTTTGCCTCGCATACCGCTCAAAAACCCGCTCACCGCTGTTCGTCCGAGACGCGTCCAATGTGCGCCCTCAGCCAGCCTCACATGTGCCGCCCATGCCATTGTTTACCAGCCAGCCTCCGCGGTAACATCCAAGCATACAATCGGAACATTTCGTATTATTACATTGTTTTTGGTGATTTTCTCTGGAAAATAAGTGACCATGGGCCCCAAGAAAGCTTCTAGTGCCAACCCTACAGCAATAAGGGTGAGAATTACTATAGAGATGAAGAAAGAGATCATTGATAAGTATGAAAGTGGAGTGCGTATCGCCGACCTGGCCAGGTTGTACAAAAAAACCCAATCAACCATTACTACTATTGTGGGCACCAGAAAGGCAATCAAGGAAGCTGTTCTTGCCAAAGGTTTAACTGTGTTTTCGAAACAAAGATCGCAAGTGATGGAAGATGTTGAGAGACTCTTATTGGTGTGGATAAATGAAAAACAGCTAGCAGGAGATAGCGTCTCTCAAGCGATCATAAGCGAAAAGGCTAGGAAGTTGCATGAGGATTTAATTAAAAAAATGCCTGCAACTAGTGCTGATGTGAGTGAATTTAAGGCCAGCAAAGGTTGGTTTGAGAGATTTAAGAAGCGTAGTGGCATACATAGTGTGATAAGGCATGGTGAGGCTGCCAGTTCAGACCACAAAGCGGCTGAAAAATATGTGCATGAATTCAAGGAGTACATAGAGGCTGAAGGACTGAAACCTGAACAAGTGTTTAATTGTGATGAAACAGGCCTGTTTTGGAAGAAAATGCAAGCAGGACCTACATTACTCAGGAGGAAAAGGCACTCCCAGGACATAAGCCTATGAAAGACAGGCTTACTTTGTTGATGTGTTCCAATGCTACTGGTGATTGCAAAGTTAAGCCTTTATTGTGTATCACTCTGAAACTCCCAGAGCGTTCAGGCAAAAGAATGTCCTCAAGGAGAATTTGTGTGTGCTGTGGAGGGCAAACAGTAAGGCATGGGTCACTAGGGACTTTTCTATGACTGGTTACACCATGCATTTGCCCCCAATGTGAAGATTACCTAACTGAAAAGAAATTAGAACTTAAGTGCCTCCTGGTGTTAGACAATGCCCCTGGTCATCCTACAGACGTGGCAGAGCGACTTTATGGGGACATGAAATTCATTAAGGTGAAGTTTTGCCTCCTAATACCACTCCTCTCCTGCAGCCCATGGACCAGCAGGTTATTGCAAACTTCAAAAACTGTACACAAAAGCTCTTTTTGAAAGGTGCTTTGTAGTGACCTCAGAAACTCAACTGACTCTAAGAGAGTTTTGGAGAGAGCACTTTAATATCCTCAATTGTGTAAACTTATAGGTAAGGCTTGGGAGGGAGTGACTAAGAAGACCTTGAACTCTGCTTGGAAGAAACTGTGGCCAGAATGTGTAGACAAAAGGGATTTTGAAGGGTTTGAGGCTAACCCTGAGAGGATTATGCCAGTTGAGGAATCCACTGTGGCATTGGGAAAGTCCTTGGGGTTGGAGGTTAGTGGGGAGGATGTGGAAGAGTTGGTGGAGGAGGACAATGAAGAACTAACCACTGATGAGCTGATAGATCAACTTCAACAGCAAGAGGCCAGACCTGAGGAAACTGGTTCAGAGGAGGGGAGAGAGAAATTGAAGAAGTTGCCTACTACAAAGATTAAGGAAATCTGTGCAAAGTGGCTTGAAGTGCAAACCTTCATGGATGAAAATCACCCTCACACAGCTATTGCA